AACATAAAAACATTAAATCGTACTTAGATAAGTGAAAATAAATTGTAAACAAGTATATAGCAAAACTTGACAATAAAAATTATTTTTCTTTAAAAAATCTTTTCTTAAAAAAAAAAAAAAAGGTCCCCTAGAAAAAAAGTGAGCAAGTGCCCCTGCTAACCTCCCTTTTCCCGGTGTCGTTGGCCCTGCGATAAGTGATACAAAATTGATTGAATTTTGTTCGACATATTGGATCATTTAAATAATTATTATTTCTGATGTTAAACTTGCTTAATGGTTTCAAAATAAAAAGGTTTTTAAAAAACAAGGAGATAAATCATTCTTCCTCATATTAACAAAAGATGAGTTTTTATATACGTTTAGTTTATATATATCGAGGATTTTCATTTGATTAAAAAATATTGAGGAATGTGCGAACCGATCCGCAGAATTAATTAAACGGATCGCATGTTTCTGACGGCAATAGAGACGTTGTAACTTGTTTGATCAGTGCGACCCCAGGCAATAAATCCATATTTTATATAACTATAAATAAAAGAGTAATAAACTTTAGTTAAATTATTTTTATTTAAATGAGTACGCGCCTTTTATAAAATTCCGATACTTTTTAAAACTTTTGAGCAGACCTAGTTAATATGATGTTTCTATGTGATGTTTTTGTCAATGAAAACCCCCTGGTATTTAGTTACAGAATCTCTTTTTATTTCAATATGATCAATAAATATTTTTGGTAGATTTGGGAATAGATAATGATTTTTGATGTGAGAGAAATAAGTTTGTGTCATCAGCAAACATAATGCTTAGAAGATTTGATGCTTAATGCATCAATCGTTGATATATATCAAAAGTAAAAAAGGGCCAAAGATTGAACCTTGCGGAACACCACTGGGAACATTTAAAAAGTGTTTTATAGTTAAGTAGACACAGCGCGTGTCTTTAAGCTGTCAGCATAGTAGTACCTGGTGTCGCACTACTTCATTAGAATTTTTAATAATTTTTGTATTGTAAATTTCTAATTCTGAATGAACAAATTAAATTAAATTAAATTAAAGTTTATTACAAGAAACAGATTGTTTTCTGTTAGATAAATAACTTTGAAACCATTTAATTACTCTTTTTTTTATTCCGTAATAATTAAGTTTATAAAGCAAAATATCATGATCGATAGTATCAAATGCTTTTGAAAAATCGATAAAAATTCCTAATGTGAATTGAAATTTTCCAAAAGAACTCGAAATTTCACGTACCAACTGAACAATTGCATGCTCAGTTGAGTTATTCTTTTTAAAGCCAAACTGATTTTTGTATAATAAATTATTTAAACTAAAATAATTAAATACTCTATTGAACATGATTCTTTCTAGTATTTTTGAAAATATAGATAAGATAGAGATAGGCCGGTAATTACTATTGTCAGATTTGTCACCACCTTTGAAAAGTGGAATAACTTTATTAACCGCGTTTATTGATAAGTCTCTATTCAGAAATTAACTCAAAGTAAGGAAGATTAAAATATGAAGTAGCATTTAAATCTTTTTCAGTTATCCAGTTTTCAGTTGAACAACTTATATTTAAAAAATCGTTGGTTTCTTGTAACAAATTAAGAAGATTTTCAAAATTGCGGTTTAGGCTTCTGATATTTATATGAAGAATCATTAGTTGATCAAATATATTGTTTTTTGAATTTTCATAAAAAAAAATGTCTAATTTGTTAAGATAGTAATATGTACAATTCGTAATAATATCATTGAAATAACTAATATCTGGATCTAAGTTTTCGTTAGATAAGAAGTGTCTCATTTCTTAACTTTTTATCGTTAAAATTTAAAAGTTTTAAAACAACTGATCGCTCTTTTCCTGTTTTTATTGACCCTGATCTTTGTTCTTTTTCAATAACAATTTCTTTATTAATTTGGAGTTTTTCAGTAAATATGTTTTTAACAATTTTTGTACAATCTTCCCAAGATTCACCAGGTAGTTCTTTAACGCTATCAATTCGCAAATTATTTCTTAGGGATCGAGTTTCAAGATCTATTAATTTTTCTTTAATATCTTTCAAAATATTTGAGTCATTATTTGAATCAAAAAGTGTCTTTTCATTATATAATTTTTTAACATCAATTTTTTAACATCATAACATGTGTTTGTTAGTTTCTGATACCCTTTTCATTGAAATCTCTACTTGGAAATCAATACTCTCTTTTAATTCATTAATATCTTTTTGCATACTTTTTATTTTTATTTTGTCGTGGTTAAAATTGCTTTAAATTTTTTCTAGTCTTTCTGTTATTATTTTCATATTTGCACAAGTGATTTTTGCAAAGTTATTTTCTTGTTCTTTAAGAAGTTTTTCTGTTTCTTTTAAGATACACTTTCTCTGTTCCTCTAGCATGCTTTTCATTAGTTTTTCAATGTTTTTTATAAAAAGTTCCATAGTAGTTGGTCTGATGTAAATAGTGTAAATAGTCTCTTACTTCCTTCCTATATATTTATACTAAATTATTATAATACAAGTAGTTGTTAATACTATAAGCGATTTTATTTTATTTGAACAGTAAAAAAGCAGCGTTCACTTCAGTGTTCTTTTTATCAAACAAAGGAAGAGTGTTTCACATGCCTCCAGTTCTTTACACATTGTGGAGAAAAGAATCATTCTAAATCAACTCCAAACTGTAAAGCATAACATGGAATATTCACATGAAAAGGTTCAGACACACTAGAAACAAATATAGGCTTGATGCTGATTGAACTGTTTATTTTCAAGAAATAATATTCGAGATAGACATGGAAAAAGTAATTATGCCACCAAGAATGGGAAATTTTAAAGACGCATTGTTTTGTCAGCGGTTAACACCATATAATGAAACATTTGTGCCTATTGGAAAAACAAAAGAGAGTATAGTTTCAATTGTTTGGCATAAAGAAATTGCTAGGCAGTACACAGAAGAGCTATTTTTCTACATATTATTTGTTTTTGCAAGAAAATTGGGATAAATCTGAAATCACCATTTGATGTGAAAATTGTTCAGCTCAAAACAAAAATTAGAGTTTAGTGGTGTTTCTGATATATATATATAATTAATAGCAATGAAATCGCAACCAAAAAAAAACAAATTAAAATAATTGGAAAGTGATCACACATTTATGAGTTGAGACTCATTTAATAGAGAAGCAACTGAAACTATGTCAAGTTTACAATTTCAATGATTTTATTCAAAATGTGAAAGCAGCGAAACGAAAAACAAAAGTTAAAATTTTGCAGGTAAGTTTGATTTTAGTTCTATAAAATTTATAAGAATTGTAGCTGTAACTAAGTGAGTTCTTATTATTTTAAGACCACAAACATTTTCGTGCTAAAGGAAAAAATCATTCAATATGTGTTGAATTAATTGTATTCTTGTCCATATATGGAAAGCATCGCCGAGATCAAGTTCAAACGTGGTTCTTATAACATGTTTTATCGTTGTGACGATTGCCCTGTGATTGAAGCATCATTTTATTCAAAAAGCAAAAAGAAAAAATCTTTACCATATACTATAAGAGATTTAAAAGCTGGAATCAATCCAATCTAAAAAGCTGGAATCAATCCAAACTAAAAATCAAAGCTTGTTTTAACACTTAGTTAATACTTGTTTTATTGTAGTATGTTTAACTATTGTTATAAAATAATTATTATTTTTATAATATAACAATAACTATAATTGTTATAGTAAAACTATAATTAACTATTAAGAATTTCAAAACATAGTGTAGTCGAATGATTTTTCCCAAATCAATGCGTAAGGCGTTTTGGAAAAAAAAATTAAAATTAAAAGCATATATTATTTTTAAGGCGTTTTTCTGAAACTATTCATCTTTATCATTTTTTTCACAATTTTTAAAAAATAATCATTCAATAACGTTTATTATCATCTATATTAGCTTATTTCATAAAAAAGTCAATTTTGAATTTTTTGATCTTGAGGCGTTTTGAAAAACGGCTGTAGTATTTGTCCTCTTGATAAAAATTTGGGCACTACTTTTATTAAAGTACATTGTACTATCCTGGACCAATGTAATAATGTAATGTTTGATCAGCCGTAACGTAGTGGTTAAAGTTCTGGCTCAGAACTCAAAGGTCCTAGTTTTGACGCCGGCTCTAGCCCAAATAAGCAAAATTGGTAAGGAAGGGGGCGTGAACTTTCCAGCTGAATGTTCTTCCGCGGTGCTCTTTGATGAGACCATAAAGTCTTTTGGGATCACCTTAACAACTACAAAAATAAAAAAAGAGGATTAATTTATTTTCTTGTTTGAAATCACGTGATTATTCAACTTTTTGATCAAAACGAACGTTTTTTAACAGACAAAAGAAATTATCAAGGTAGAAAGTATATAAAAATGAAAGTATATAAAAATGCGTAGAAAGTATAAAAATGCGTAAAAAAAATGATACATTTTTATTTAAATTTTGTAAATAATTAATTTAAAAAAGCATAATTATATTTGGCAGAACTTAAAAATAATATTAAACCATTGTTTTTGATGTAATATGATAAGTATTGTTGTAGTCATAATTTATATTGTTTTTATCAAAAGATAAATAAACAAATTTAAAAGATTTTTTAGTTTGTTTATTTTATTTAGTAATGCAATCTTCAAAAAAGATCTTGCATGGCTATATATAATATGTAAAATGTATTTTTTTTATATATAGCCTATTTCTTCATTTATTATGTGAGCGATGCATGGGGTGGTTGGAAAGATTTTATTTTAAATGTTGTTGGAAAATGTCTTGTATAAATGAGAATTAAAAATGCGCAAGACTGAATGTTTCAATAACTTTCTTTAACAATAATTTAAATGGCTTTCATAGCTAAAAAAAATAAAACAAAATAAAAATTAATATAAAATATAACATAAACTAAAATATAACATAAACTTCGCAATAATAAAAAAAAATATTAGTAACCTTTTTTTTATACTTTTATCAAAAAAATTCAAAAATATTTAAAAAGACTTACATTACGGTATTTTTCAAAACGTGTGAATATTAACAAACCGAATATAACTCCAGGAATGCCAGGAATAATAAACTAACACAAAAAATAAACGTAAACATAACACAATTAAGTTTTATTACTGATTATTGAAATATTAATTATTTACAAATATTTTTCTAAACACTATACAAAGTACGGTGTGGCATTTTCTTCTGATTTCTCTTGTGAAAGAAATGCTATGATTCCAATGATTGCTCCTAAAATTACTTCTGTTGCACCAAAGACAAATGCATTTTCTTTCTTAAAAATACACATAATTAATTATTTCAAATTAGCTGTAAAAAAATTTTTTATTAACTTTTCAACTTTATTTGTTCACCTTACAACTTTGTTGACACTTAAAATGAGTTTAAACAAGTTAACTTTGTTTACTTAAAATTGATATATTCTGTTATTTAAACGACATATTAGTAATTGATTAAAACTGTTCAAGTAAATATAATATTGAAAAACTAGAATAAGAAAAAATTTGGAATAAAACTTTATTTATTTTAAAACATGTTCAGTTATTACATCTGTTAAGATGAAAATAAAAACAATGTTTTTATTTTCATCTTAACAGTGAAAATTTTCTAAAAGAATGAAAAGGTACATATATATATATATATATATATATATATATATATATATATATATATATATATATATATATATATATATACCTTTTTCACAAATGTACATATATATATATATATATATATATATATATATATATATATATATATATATATATATATATATATATATATATATATATATATATATATATATATATATATATATATATACCTTTTTCACAAATTCCACAGCGTAAAATGAAAAAGTAGTCAAATTTTATTCTCTTTTTTGTCAACTTTCAGCAAATGAATATTGATGTAGACACATGAAAGCTTATTTAAAACTTATCTTTGATACTAAAATTATTTTATTTAAGTCATTTTTATGCCTCTGAAAGTTACAGTTTTTCTCATTGTCGCATGATAAAAAAGGTATCATTGTAAAATGTTATTCTAACCATGAATTTATTTGCAAAACCGGAATTAAATTAGCGTGAAAATGGAGCTAACGTGTTTAAATTATTTTTAGTCAGATTTTATACTTTATAAAATATTTTTATTTTAAGGAAATATCGAATTAACTTTTGCAATTTTCATTAAGTTAACAAAAACATGGTAGTTTTGTTTTTTATAAAATTTAGTTAAAAAAACTAAAGTTTCTTAATAATATATGCAAAAGAATATTAAATGTTACGTTTTTGCATTTAAACTTTTGAATAACGATGCTTAGTTAGAGCACATTTTTATTTTAAATTTGTGCAACGTAAGTTAAAACTCGGGTGCTTTTTCGTTAACAAAATTTTTGTTGTTTTTTTTTTTACATTTTTTTGTCGTTGTTTACAAAGATAAACAGACAAGGCTGAAAGAAGATCATAATGATCTTATCATCAGAACCTTTTACAATTTTTTTAAAATCAATACATTAACAAAACTATATATAAATTACAATAAATCGCGATATAAATTGGAAATATAAATTAAACCACTAATATATAATAAAAAATCTGATCATATCATCAGATCTTATAAAAACGTAAATATATACCCAGCCGGCACAATGACGTTGAAATAACGTTGAAACAACGTCGCCAACCGACCATATGCCACGTTGAAACAACGTTGAAATTTGGTTGAATTGGAAATAAAATCCGACGTCGAAACCTACGACGTTGAAACAACGTCGATGATTACGTCGTTTCAACGTTGATTTAACGTCTTATCGACTACATATCAACCATATTTCAACTTTGAATAGGTGATATATTCGATTGATACGTAGTTGATAAGACGTTAAAACAACGTTGAAACAACGTAAATTCAACGTTGATTTTTGTTTTTTATTTTAGTTAAATCCAATTAACTAAAAAATTTTCTCAACTTTAATTGCAACAAATTAACACAATAAAAAAGCAATAATTTGCGCAGAGGATATTATATTTCACGTAAATTAATCAGATACAACTAAATTGCTTCAACGGACTTTATATACAATGCAAATAAAACAAAATGTTTGAAAAAAAAAAGTTTTATTTATCAGTATTATATTTATCAATTTATCAATAATAACTATTATCAATAGTTCCAGAACAACTAGGAAAAAGTATGAATGTTATACATCGGGTTAATCGCCTTTTACGCGCCGACCACCACCATTTGATCTGTCGAGTGCGTATTTTAATAAATTCATTATTCCTTTTCTTATTTCGGCAACTGTAGCAGTCACTTTAATTGACAAAACTCTCTCTATAAAAAAGGTATTGCCTGAGTAATTTTCATCAAATACATCAAAAAGGTAAAAATAAAATAGCATTAAAAAAACGAACTGTGATTTTTAAAAATATATAATTTTACACTTAACTTACAAGTAAATACCTAATGTTTTTTCCTTTAAATTTCTCTTTACCTTTACCGTCAGCCATATTAAATTTTGATTATAAACCATTGGTCAACAACCTACATTATACATTGTTATTAATATCATAGTAACAAAAATTGACATACATGTCTTTTACAAAATACAAATTATTCTTAATGAAAAATAGCACAAAGGTTTCTTACCAAAGGTTTCTCACCCAACGCAAAAGGTTTCTTACCAAACCGTAATGCAAGTAAGAAAAAGAATTCATACAGGGGAAGAGTTTGGTCCAAGGAGACCACCTTCTAAACGCAAGAAAACACCAAGAGCGGACAGTATAATCAGAAATATCTGCCTGGAAAAGAGAAAAAAAGCCACTAAGCTTATCCATGAAGCTGTAATTGTTGTGTCAGACCAGACCATTTGTAGAAGGCTAAAAGAAGAGGGATTGATGTCCAGCCGAAAATGTCAAAAATTGACAAAAAAATTTAAAAATAATGTCAAAAATCTTATATTTATGCAAGATGGTGCAACTTGCCACACAATAAAAACTGTTATGGCTTAGTTGATGTATTGCTATAGCCAGACAACTCGCATGATCTTAACCCCATAGAAAGCATTTGGGAAATAGTAAAGCAAGAGATTGGAAAAAAAAAATCTTACTAATAAGCAAGATCTTATGGAAGAGATTATCAAGGTCTAGCATAATAACCTAGAGTTGACAGAAACTATAAAAAATAAATTGCAAGCATGCCACAATGCAATGAAGTAGTTATTGCAAATAAAAGTGTTTTTGCAAAATATTTATACTTTATATATACAGTTGTGTGACAATTTATTATGGCCACCTATGAGTTTTGATCATTTTGAAATTTAATATCATTTTTTTTCATATGAAGAGTAAAAATTCATTATTGAAAGTTAATCTGCTGTTTAAAATAAAGTTTTAACTTATAAAATCAATGCTTTTTTTTTGCTACTGGCAACACTGTCACTTTTGACAGCCATTTTGTATGATGTCATCTTAATTATAATCTTTTTGCTGTACACTTGTTAAGTTTTATTACCAGAGTTTTGAATTCTTTTATTAGGTTATCGTCATATTACTTATTTAAATCAGTAAAAAATTTTTGAATATTTCTTTTTATTTTAAATTAAAAATAGTTGTATTTAGTTTGATATTCTTAAAGTTATGAGTACCAAAGCAAATTCTTAACTGTTATGTGATACTGATATGTGATATCTTATTTTAGTTATGAGGGAAAAAAAAACTTGTCACAAAAAATTGCTGAAATCAGGGCACTTTTAATAAATACTGATCATTCTCAATGAAAAATAGCCAGAAAATATGGTATTTCGCGGGTATCTGTACAAAATATACACAAAAAAATGCTAATATGGAGAACTTGATGCCAAAGAGGGTTGGTAAATGTGGAAAGAAGAGAATCCTAACACCATGCAGGAAATGAATACTTACCAAGATTGTTCTAGAAAATAGACGGGCTACCAACAACAAAATAACTAATAAGCTGGGCCAATCTGGAGTCAAAATGTTGAAGAGAACGGTCCAACATTGCCTACACAATCTTGGTTACATTTCACGACATCCAGCTAAAAGGCCTAAACTGACACCAAAAAATGCTTAAGTGGACAAAAAAGTATAGGAATTTAACATATGATTGGTAATTAATAAAATTAATTTAGATGAATTTAAAATATCCACTTTCTTACACCAAACTTTAAATAATCATTCAATATTCACTTAACAATCCTTGTATAATATTTGAAGGTATGCTTTAGCGGCGAGAGTACTTTTAAGTTTTAAAAAGAAAAAAAGGGAAAAAATACTTATTGGACTGCATCATGCAAACTGTTAAACACCCCACCTCTGTGATGATCTGATCAATGAAATGTGTAAAAGAAATAGGAAGGTTCTATATTGCAGAATGAAAAATGTTACAGTTACAATATAAAAATGCTGGAACAAAGATTGTTGTCACAATTGGCAGAATAATTTAGTCCAGGTGAAAAAAAAGCCTTCATGCAGGACAGGGCATGACCATGTCGCACAGCTAAATCAGTTAAAAAATATCTATCAGAACAAAATATTCCATTACTTGATTGGCCAGGAAACTCTTCTGACCTAAATCCTATAGAAAATGTTTGGGCGCTCCTAAAGAAGCAAATATCTGAAAAAATTATTACAAATAAAGTGTATTTAATAGAAAGAATTATTCAACATTGGAACTATAATAAAGAACTGAAGGAAATGGCTCAAAAATGCATTAAAAGTATGCCAAAAAGGGTTCCTGCAATTATAGAAGCAAAGGAGGAATCACCAAATATTGATCTTGAATATATTTGCAGTAATATTTGAATAATAAAATTTATTTAATTTGAATAATAAAATTTATTTAATAATATTTTAATAAAAAAATAATAAACAATATGTTAAATGTGTTTATTTGTCAAAAAAATACCCATTTCTTAAATAAAAGTTACTTTGAGTACATAAATCACAAAAAAATACTAAAATAATAGACTTTGAAACTTGATAATTTTGAAAAATTGTGGGTGGCCATAATAAATTGTCACACGACTGTATTTTATATACTTTATCATAATAATCAATAAATATTCAAAATGTTCATCTTTATTTATTTGTTTTTATCAAGTACAACTTAATAAATAAAAGAAAAAAAACTTTAAATTGCACTATTAATATTATATATATATATATATATATATATATATATATATATATATATATATATATATATATATATATATATATATATATATATATATATATATATATATATATATATATATACATATATACATATATACATATATATATATATATATATATATATATATATAT